TAGAGAGATGATATATTCTCTCAACTTTTATTATTGTTTTTATATTAATTATTTATTCCTCGATCTTCCTTGCATCACAAAGGCATCCCCAAGGGGTTCCAAGAACCTCTAAACTCCTGTTGTTCTAATAGAGTTGTATAGCGAGGGGTGAAAACCAAGGCCAATAGGTAGGTTTGGGGTTTAATACACTGCCACATACGTATTATGTCCATGGCGGGGGTACAAATGTCATTTATAAAAAATTAAGAAAATATGGATATGGGTATATTAAATCGGATATTTTGGTATATTTGAAAAATAAAAAATTTTATGGGATATATCTGAAAATTTCGTTTTTGTTTAATATGTAATAAGTGGCAAATCGGTCTATAGTTGGTCTAAGAAAAGGTTAACAAAAAAACCATATATATTAATTTTTATATTTGGGAAAAATTAAAAATATCCCTTATATTTCTTATTTGACATCCATGTCCTACTTTTTAAAAGCGTATCTAGTATTTTCATTTTATCTTTTTTTAGTATAAATAAGATTGAACTCAAATTTTGTTTCTCATACTTCTCACTATCACCCATTTGTAAAAAAAAATGTAATAAATAGTTAATTAAAATAAGATGATTAAGATATTTTAGAGGTATTTTAGTTATCTTACTTATTGAAAAATTTCGTGTTTATGTATTTTAAAGGTGTGTGATAATAAGAAGTATGAATACTCAAAATTTAAGCTTAATCTAATGTATAACAAAATTAAAATTAAAGTAAGATACATGCACTAGAAAGTTGCACGAGTATACGAATATTGAGAATAATTTTTAAAGGAAAGAGTTATAATAGAGCCGAGGCTCTAAATAATCAAATTAGAGTCCACGTAAAAAATTTCACTAGAAGAGGTTGTTTTGATGCCCAAGTATCATCAAATTGATCATTTTGACATCAAGATGCATGGACATGATAAACCATTTTGGTTTTTGAAAAACAAAAACTAGGCATTTTCGTTTTTTTTTTTTTAATTATTAGGAAATAGAAAAAATAGGTATAAGTGTAATAATAAAAACTTGGAGATAATCCCATAATAAAGATAAATATGACAAATATATACGCAGATATACCAAAATTTATCGTTTAAAACCCTTATACTCATATTTTATTTTACCCACACAATGGATATAATAAGTCTGTAGTGGTGCATAAAACTCCAACCCTACTTGTTGTACATGAGGGTAATGCATATGCATTTTGGTGCTTTTGAAATGCTTCTTTGCATAATCGTACACATCCCCACTTGCATCGTGAACAAGGTACCCACTTTATGAACATGCCAATAATATATAGCGTTCTCTTGCGATGCATTGTGTTTGACTTTTGATATATATATATATTTGAACCACCCTTAGCCAGGGCATTAGCCACATAGTTTACTTAACGATAAAGAGACCGATAAAGGGTAAACAAGATCTAAAATATGCAACTATAATGGCCGTAAATCCCATCGCACACATTGCTCCTTGTTACGCCACTTTATAATATTCAGAGAGTCCCCTTCAATCCAACATTTGTTACCATAATTCCTTTCGATAAAAATTTTCAAACTTTCAAGTAACGCGCTAAGCTCCGCACAATTTACAGTTGCAACACCTATAGGTTCAGCATTGGCAAAAATGGTGTTACCTAAACAATCGCACACCACTCCTCCAATTCCGGCTAAACCATGATTGCCAAGAGAACTCCCGTCAAAGTTGAGTTTCAAGGTACCTGCTGGAGGTGCAATCTAGATATTTATCGGTCTATTACTCATACAACCAAGACAAAAAAGTTTGTTTAAGTTTGCCATAACATCCACTTTAGAGATACCCCATCGCTCTTTTAAAACAGATAGCCATGGCCATATTGAAAATTTGATAGCATGAATTAGTATGTCAATAGCCATAGAAGTCCCTTCAAAGGTCATTCTATTTCTTTCTTTCCAAACCTCCCACATGATTACACCTTTAGCAATCCTTCAGATAATCGTATTCACCTTAGGTAAATGAGGAAGGGAAAATTGGGAAACTAACCCAGGAAGTGCTAAATTGATAGCTAGAACACTAAACAGCCAGTTCCAAATTCTCACCGTAAAAGAACAATGGATAAAAAGATGTACACCAAAATCACCATCAGCTTTGCATAGAAGGCACACATTCGGTAAAAATTAACCCCTTTTAATCAAATTATCAATGGTCAGTACTTTATTTATAGCAGCCAACCAAATAAAAACTTTTACTTTATGGGGTATCGGCCATGTCCAAATTTGAAGCAATCTGTGGGCACGACCATCTCCATTCGATCGTAAAAGAAAAGACTATGACGAGATTTAATAATGAAAACACTATCACTTTCGATCTCCCAAACCATAACAAGATTTGACTTTTGATATTTCTCAACATGAAAAGAAGGGAGGAAATGATGGAAATGGTTGAAGAGTGCCAGAGTGGTTGCGATAATGTCACAGACATGCTGTCTATGATGGTTTGGATACCTCTTGAACACTAAATAGGTGTCATAAAGAAGACCAGGAACCCTTGAATCCTCACGGCTCTTACCGTGTCGACACCGTAACGGTCCTGATACATCTGTGGTGGTTTAGTCGCCTCCTGGACATTGAAAAGGCATCCTTAAGGGTTTTCAGGAACATCTGAATCGCTACGACTCTAATAGAGACGCAGCGAGGGGTGAAAACCAAAGCAATGGGTGGGTTTGAGGTTTAATACACTGCCACAAACCTATTATGTCTGTGGTGGAGGCAAAAATGTCATTTATAAAAAAGGAAAATATAGCTATGGGCGTATTAAACGGTAAATTTCTATATATTCGAAATATAAAGAACTTTATAGGATATATATGATAATTTCCCTTCAAAATATCCCTAATATTTCTTATTTTACATTCATGTCCTACTTGTAAGAGTATGTATAGTTTATTAATTCTATATTTTTTAATATAAATTAGAGCTCAAATTTTATTTCTCATTCTTCTGACTATCACATATTTGCAAAAAGAATAAGAAGAAATAATTAATTAAAATGACTAAGATATTGGTACAAATTTTAGAGTTATTTTATTTATTTAAAATCTTTATGTTTGTGTGTGTTTAAAGGTGTGTGGTAGTGAGAAATATGAATACTCAAAATTTGAACTTAATTTGATGCATAAAAAAATTGAAATTAAAATAAAAATTTGTACATTTGCATATTTACAAAAGAAAATTTGTTTCATACAGCGAGTGTCGCATTTCTACATTTGCGGTCCCCGAGGTAGAAAGCATCCATCTTAAAGATGGATGCAAATAGGTGGTTCATCTAAAAATAATTAAAACTAATAATCAAAATGTTTTTTTAATAAAATTATTGTTTTTAATTTTCAAAATTTATTTATTTTTCCATATTAATAGTCTCCATGTTAGCGATTACATATCCTTAAAAATTAAATCTAAAAATCCATTTCAGAAATAGATTTTTAAGGGGTGACTCATATTTACATGGACATGTAGAAACCATGCCTTTTAACAAAATGGAAAATTGTTTCATGTGAGTTGGACCACATTTTTACATAGGACCCAGTTTCTATGCAGCCAAGCTCGCATAGGTAGAAATGCAGGCCTCTTAATAAATCTATCTTTAATATGAGTTTTCAGACTTAATTTTTGAGGACATGTAATCTCGAACATGGAGATCATGAATATGAAATATAAATAAATTTTTAAAAAGATTGTATACAATGATATCATTTACCTTTGATACAAAATAATTACAATTACTTACAACTATCCGATGTGAAATTTGATAGCTTGAATGTGTCACAAAATTTAAAAAAATTTATCTTCTAGTTTGAACTTTGATCCTTGGAATAATTGATCTCTCGACCTAAGATAGATGGTCTCACTCTCCACTTTTCCATTTTTTTTTAAATAAATAATATTAGCAGTTTTTATTGTTTTCAAATGAAAGGCATGTTTTCATCCATCTTTAAAAAGGAAGGTTTAGAACCGCATAGGTAGGTCAACACTGTAGCAGTGGCTATAAAAGAGGCGACGAAAGTCTAAGCGTAGGCCTTGACAAGACTAAACACCGTACGTAGATGCATGGCCCACCCCTCCCAACGTATGGTCCAAATTCCTCTGCGGGTTGAATTTTTCTCCGTGGATCTCAGGAATTCATCTCATTCGGTCAAAGCGCCGCGCTTTCTGCGGGAATACCATTCCTCTCTCTCTATAATTCCATTAAAGATATGCACCTTCACGCGCTGTCCTTTGGGACATCAGGGTAGACTCCATCCAGGTCCTGGTGTACGTTCAAAATTTGAACTACATGGGTCGGGTCCAGATCCAAATCTTGGACTCGGACACTTTTCACTGTCTAGGTATTTTTTGGGTTTATATTTATAAAATATACTTTAATACAGGTAAATACATAGATATTTTTAATTTTTTAGGTTGGGTCCCTTCGGATCCACGTCCTACACTATATTTTCAGGTTTGGATCCGACTCTCACCTGACCCGACCTTTTGCTTCCCCTAGCTTGGCCCCAAAAACACTAGCACTGGCCCATATGTGCCTATGGGTTGGACTTAGGCCAAGCCAAGATATGTCCCGCCCGGGTTTGACCTTTACTCTCTTCTTCTTCTTCCTCTTCTTTTTTTTTTTTTTTTTTAAATTTTTTATTTAATTTCCTTAAATTTTACCCGCTAAGATATATGTCCAGCCCGGTTTATCCTGGCTAAGCCTTTACATTTTCATTTTTTTTTTAAATTTTCTTAAATTTTACCCGGCCCGATCCTAATAAGGCTAGTTCTCGGCCCAGTCTGGCCAGGGCATAGGATGGCGTTAGACATAGGGCGGGCCCGGCACGTCACCAGCCCTACAAGTGATTGAAGGTTTTGAGAGAGACACGTGGAGGTGATCGTAGAGAGAGAAATAACAGGGAGATGAATTGTAGAGAGAGAAAGGACATGAGATTTAAAACAAAGGAGCCCGGCACCAGCGACTCTGTGCGCTGCGTTACCTGAGTGGAGTACCAGTAGAGGGTCATTGAAGGCTTCTCATTTGTGTGTGCAGAGCACAGAAAGTTCGATTTTAATTGGGGGGCTTGTCTTTTTCTCTCTCTTATTAAAACTCGTCTTCTCTGCTCTGCTCTTCTCTGCTCTGCTCTGTTATATACGCGACACTTCGTGGAGGAGAGAGAGCGACGAAACGGGGTGCTGTAGCGTTCATTCTCGGAACACTTCTCTCTCTCTCTAGGTTTCCCTTCGTCTCTTTGTGGTTGATTTCTTGTCTTTGCAAGTTGGAGAAATATGGCGGAAGAAGGTACTGGTCTCACTCGCAGGGTGCTGTTTATCTCAGCAGGAGCCAGCCACTCTGTAGCCCTTCTCTGTAAGTTCACTGCTGTCTCCTCTAATTTACAGAGAGAGAGAAAGATGCCTTTATTTCATTTTCTCAATGCAGAGCTCTGGTAGTTTTACTCCTGGTAAATGTAACTCTCTCTCCATCTCTCTCTCTTTCTCTCTCACGTCCCCCCTCGCTCGCTCGCTCTTGTATTTCTGACTTGATCTGGGTTTAGGAAAAATTGGGTTGGCTTGGGATTTAAGAGGTGTTCAATTCATCAATGTGGAACACTTATTTTTTCCCTTTATTTGTAGTTGACCCCAATTTATTCGAATTGTGGGGTTGGTCTGGGAATGTTAGTCATATCAGCAGTTCAGTGGTTGTTGTTGTTTGAGTGTTTCTCCTTTTTGTCTCCTGGGAATCAGATTCAGGGGATAAAAAGGATGTAGAAATGGGGGTTCCCATGGAGTGTTAAGAATTCAGATGAGCCTTTCTCCAATGCATGTTACATAACTAGGAGTTGAGAAGCTGAAGTAGCTTGTTTGTTTATTTGGTTAATATGAAGCTGAAGTCATATGGTGACAAAAATTTGAAGGCAATTTTTGTTAGTGTGGATGGTGGAGAAGCTTAGAAATGATTGAACATTCTCATACCAAAATCTGAGTGTGAATCATTTCTGGTTGGATGAAAATTTAGACATTGAGACGCATATTTATGTCGGCCATTTCTTAACTATGAGAGCATTCGAGTTATCGATAACAGTGCATTCTGCAGTTGCCTGCCATTTTCTTTTTATTATCTTAATCATACCACTCCTACACCATTATAGGGAATCTCCATGGTCAGTGAGTATGATCAGCTAGGACGTAAAGATGCTAATCCTCCTTGATATCCATGGGTTCATATTTAGCTAGAGGAGAGAAAAATTTCCCACTGTTATGAGATGACTAAATGATCTCAAAACACGTCTCACCACTTTCATACAAGTATGGGTGGTGAGGTAATTGGTGCATTTGCCCACCTCAACTTCTAAATGGTTTCCATTTTCCCCATGTTCTACAGGAGGATGTGCTATGGATGGTTCTTGTCCAAATCCCTATATGCCATGAATTATATTAATGGTGAATATGTCCTTGTGCATTGCATTTTGTGATGGCCGAGATCTTGCATATATTAGTAGAGAAAATTAGACATCATTTGAGGGTTTTGGGGGAAGTGTCCATTGAAAAAAAGCATGGGTCAAATACTACTAACCAAGGGAAGCCCAACGGAAACTGTCCTAATCCCTGAACTGAAAGATTTTTAAGCCCATGCCATCTTGACTGCCCTTGTTATCACCTTCCAGTTTTTTATATTAAAGCTGATAGGAACATGAGGCAGGTCAGACATTTAAGAGGACCTCTGAAATTCTTTAGAGTGATTGAGGCAGATACAAGGACTCTGGAATCTAGTCTCTCATCCTTACCCACTTCTAAAATGACCATCAAATGGGCTCTACTCTCACCACAGATGCTTGGGCCAACATAGAGTGGACAAACGCAAAGAAAACTTGTTCTTGACAATCGCATTACAACTGGCTGGCCTAGATTGCAAGCTCTGGTAGTGCTGTGCTTGAACATGTTAGCTTTTTGCTTTAAAATTGTTTCAAAACAACCATTTGTTAAAAATTTGGATGGTCCAATTTTATTGTGGTGGACCTTAGGTCCACCATTATTTGCTTCCAGTTTTTACATGAGGAGGTTGGTTTTTACCACCTCTTATGTGGCATCTTAACACCCCCATTTGATGTTTTATTGACACCTCTTAACTGAGGTGTTACAAACGTTTATCTCTCCTATCTTTTTTATGATGAGACTCTCTCTCTCACGTTATGGGAATTAATGCCTCAGGGGCTTTCTGTTATCTTTGCAGTGAGAGCTCTTTCTCCTCATGAGTTTTTTTTGATGTCTCTCTCATGAGAAGTACTAGCCTCATGCAGATTTTCAGGTAAGAGGAATTGTTACATTTAATGATTTATTTTAAGGTGTGGGTTGATCATCTATGTACTTTTGTTTCCTAATCGATCTTAAAATTGTTGTTATATTACCTGATTGGAAGACTTATTTTAGTCAGAGAGAGGATGTTCCCAATTGATATTTTATTGTAATATTTACCGATTGGATGATAAAGTTTTGTAGTAAGAGAGTGAAGTCCCTTTCCAATTGACTTTTGTAGAACCATACCAATTGGAAAGACACATCAATATTTTTCGTGACTGTGCTTTTCTACGGGTCTCATGAGTAAGCAACTCAGGGACTCAAGAATTATTTTCCAATTTGGCTATATCCTGGGAGTGCACTCACCAGGACCCATTTGCACCTTGGAATTTTATTAAGATGGGGGCATTTAACACTTCGAAGAAAGTGAGCTCCTCTAGTGCCTCCAGATCCCCTGTTTATGGTCCAATTATTTGGGAGCTTATGAACAATGTGATGCATAGTTAACTGCAGTGAGACCCCGAACAACTAACAGAACAATCACGCAAGGAGATGGACAAGTTGTATTAGGATGATGTGGGAGTAGGTCTTGTGAAGAAAACCCTAGTATCTCTTGCAGATTTTGGCTTGATGTCTGAATGCGCCAATCAACTGTTTATTGCTTAGGTTTTTCCATGCCTCGTGCCATTCAAAACTCTATGTTGAGCAAGCCTTGACTCCCTACTCAATTTGGGAACCAATGCTACGTAAGATAGTTCCCCTAGTTCCAGTCTAGAAATATCTTGCATCAAGTGCTTGCGGGCATGCATGAGATCATATGATATGATCTGGGTGACTTATAGGTGTGGGCTTAGCTCTTTTAAGAGTGGGCTTCGTAATGTGGGTTTAGTGATTGTTGGAATGGGGTTGGTTATATAGAGTTTGTAATTTGTGATTTGGTTACGAGGGACTGCATTTAGTTATGTGGGATTGAGTTGGTAGAATCAGGATTTATGATGAGAGACAAAGTGAGTATACAAATTGGGGTAGTCATTGAGTTAGACATTAGGTTTTTAATTTGGGAACGTGTTATGAGGAGTTACCCTTCAAATAGAAAGATTATTCTTTGATTTTTTTTTTAGGTTTTATCCATTGGTTATAACGATCCCACATTCTTGCTTCCTCCTCAAATTTCAACATCAAATGGTTGTTATAGTATAATCGTATCTCAAACTTGCATACTTAGTGCAAATCCTTGAGGTGCTGGCTTAAGCACTTCTTTCTACCCCAAAATGTAGTTTTTAGGGTTTTTTTCCTTTATGTGGGATGGAAGGGTTTTGTTGGTAGAAGCAGGATTTATAATGAGAGCCAAAGTGAGTATACAAATTGGGGAAGTCTTGGAGTTGGACATTGGGTTTTAAATTTGGGAAGGTGTTATGAGGAGTTACCCATCAAATACAAAGATTATTCTTTGTTTTTTTTTTATAGGTTTTATCCATTGGCAATAACGATCCAGTATTCTTGCTTCCTCTTCAAATTTCAAATCAAATGGTTGTGATAGTATCACTATATTTCAAACTTGCATACTTAGTTCAAATCCTTGAGCCTTAATGGTGCTGGCTTAAGCACTTCTTGCTACAAGCCCAAAATGTAGCTTTTAGGTTGTTTTTTTTCCTATAGGAGAGCCTTTATGAGAGATGTGGACACTTTTTTGTATTTTTATAGCAACAAACACAAAAGAGGAATGAGGGTGGTGGAGGCTAGGCTCCTCTCTCCCACATATTTATAATATTTCAGTAGGTTTTGTAAATGATTAGAAAACCCTCTCTTCATTCTATTTTGAATAGGATTTGTCATAAATTTCCTTTACCTTCTTTCCTTTTCAAATTGGGATTATGTATTTGTATATCCTTTCATAACTTTCCTAACGTAAGCCTCTTAAGACAAACCAAAACACCTCGTTGAAAAATCGCACTTGATCTTAGTACGAACTACATAAATGTGCTTCGCCAACATTGTTCGCAAAATCGCCCGATCTAACCGCTAACCGCCCAGTTAGATTGGAACCGGCCACTGGTCGGTTCCGGATTCGGGCGGTTAGGGTGATCAACCGGTATTTTAAAAAAAAAATTCAAAAAAATGTATATAAATTCTCAAAAATAAGGAATTTGATTTGTAATGCATTTTTAAATATTCTTTTCATTATGGTAAAGATTAAAAATTGTTTTGGTCATTATTACTCACTTTTATATTTTCCCATCTTTTTTAGAAAATTTTAAGCGTAGCCATTGGAAAATATAAAATAGGCTAAAATCCATTTTTTTCATTAATTTTCAACTTCTTTTGAATGTGTTTTGTTTTAATCATTCTTTATATGCTTTTCATATTTTAGTACATTTTTTTTTATAATTTTTTTTTTTATTTTCTTTCAACACTTTTTTGACCGCCTCGGACTTGCCCAGTTAGAGCAATTGAATCGGTCGGTTTACCGGTTAGGCTGGTTAAACCGCTTCCGCGCCCACGTCCGGTTAACCGTCCCTGTTCGATTTTGCGAACACTGTTCGCCAATGAACTCCATATGAAAATTTTAGGACAGGAGCTCCTTAGTGGCATTGATTATCTCCTTATCGCTTCAACATAAAATGAAAAGATCATGAAACTTCTCTTATGATGGTTAATGTATACAGTGGTCCTATTCAATCATTGAAGTTCCATCGGAATACAACTTTATAAAATTTAATATACCACAAAGAATACTATAAAATTTCATGAGCCTTACCATGTCCATTAGGAAACAATTCCTTCTCTCTTTCTCTCTACAGTACTATTACGTTCTGTAGTATAGGTTATCATTTCTTGCCGATGAATACTGTGATCCTCACGTTACTAAACGTCCAAAGGAATATTGGTGTCCACTATCAGCTCAAAGAGCCTTAATTCTTTCTCCTAATTGGTTCCCAACTTACAATTGAATCTCTTGGAGCAGTCAATTGCCTCAGATGTGTGTTGGATAGAATATACATAACCATAATGCAAGTAATTGTCAATTGAATTAATGAAATAGCTTACCATAAAAAAGAAAAAGAAAAAAAG